CCACCACCCACTACCCACCTCCACCCCCCTCTTCCCCCTCTCTGATGATAAAAAACATTCCTTTGAATATACAAGAGAGTTCAACAATGTAAGATACGTGTGAGCTCGTGACTACTAACCAATCAGAATGAAGAGACACTATTGCTTATTGGTGGGTGTGGCTTGCTTTCTGTCAATCAAACAAACGTAGGCGACAAATCAATAATACTCCTCCCCCATAACCTAAAAGTGCAATACATGGGCGTGTGACTACTGTTCTTAAAAACGGACACTCATAATACTACAACAGTTTTAATTAAATTCGCACTTAGTTAAATTTAATTAGCAAGTTTGATTTGGCACAACTTTATAATGCATGCAGACATACAGTTTAATTAGAACTGATATTCGCGCTCCACTTCAGAAATCGCTTGTTCACCCTGTAGGGACGCTTATGCTTTCAAAATATGTTAACGTGTTCGACGTCATTTTGATATTTGATTGGCCAGTGATTTGACAGACCGTATGATATAAACCGTATTCGCCTCTCTGTGGAATACTTCGAGATTGGAAACTTGCAGTATTGTGGTAAGTTTACTTGTGTATATGGTTATTGTTCCCAACCCGTGCCTGACTGTATGGTTGCGTTTGTTGTGTGATGTTTCTCATGACTAGAATCCGCGTTGCTTTAAGTCTGAGGTTCTAAGCATCACGGGAGAATAATACAGCCTGTATGAACCCCACGTGACCAGCGTCACTGACTAAATGGGTGGCAGAAATGTGTTAATATATTATGTTGATTTAAATACTCCAGATAAACACATATTGTTAAGACAGTATAAGATTAATAGAGAGAAAGACAGAGAGACAGACGGAAAGCAAATGAAAAAAGAGAAACAAAGTAATGTATCTTTTCTGTAGTATTTGTATATCACAAACATGAAAAATACTTCATAAATTTGATCTTGAGAATATTTAACAAATTAATACAATAGTAACACATAAAATTGTTACCAGCCAGGGAGGATAAGTAATAAAATATAATTTATTGGGTTGCGGCCCCTTTGGGACCGCAACTGTTGATGTTATATTTTGCTTGCTCTTCTGTGAGCGACTTTTACCCGTGTTTCATGTCTTGTGACATGGGATTATGGGTAGTTGAAGGGCTACAGTTTTATTTCTTTTTGGCTGTGTTCTACACTGTTTGCTGTATTCTACACTATTTTTGCTGTATTCTACTGTTCTACTGTCCTACATCGCCGATGAAAAACGTGGGGCGCCGTGATTTTCTTACAGTTTCTAATATTGTTGACACTCTACAAGCTCCCTAATAAAAGTCAATAGTATTATCTAATCAATAGTAATATAACTTTTACATCTTATATTAACAATGACAGATAAAAAACTTTTACTTCGGCGCCCCACGTTTTTCATCGCTTATAGTAGAGTGATCGCTTGCATTATTGTGATGTATAGCATTTATTTTCTACTTTTTAGTTCAATCAGAAAACGTGGGTTTTTAAAAACGTTTTTAATGATAATTATTTAACTGTAAGTTAGAGTTTTGAGTTTATTTATTGTACCATTTTGTATAGACCCAGTGTAATTGTTTCTTGTACACTTATTAAAAGGGTATTGACAGTTTTAAGTCGTATTGAGTATCTTCGATTTGTCCTGTTTTACCCCTAGACATCAATAACGAGCTCACGTCAAGTTGTTGTGTACTCATTAGTTGTTGACTTCTATCAGTGCCATCCCAAACGAACCCGGGGTGTTCGCTCCCTCCGCGGCTGTCGGAGAGCAAGCATTACAGGCTTCTTCTGCCAATGTTATAGGGGTGCTGCTTGATACATTGACTTTGAGAACTTCACTTTTCCCTCTGTGGATGTTCAGGCCCAGGCATGTAGAAAAATTAGCAAGCCTGTTGGTGTTAGCGTGCATTCGTTGTTGCGTGTGAGAAAAAAAGGGCCAGGTCGTCAGCAAAGTCCAGGTCATCCAGCTGGCTCCACAGTGTCCACTGTATACCGTTTTGCTTTTTTCTTTGTTGATAACTTCATAATCTAGGGCCTTACCCCGACGACCCCCAGAGCTATACCAGCGGGAGTGTAAACTCCTGGTAGGTTCAACCAAGCTGGGAAGGTCAGCGCGGGTAGGGGTCAGACGAAAGCTAGCACCCCGGTCCTCCAGATTGGGGGTTGGGTATAAGGTCAGCAACCTTATATCGTAAAAAACAACTTGCTACAAAAACGCAGAAAAAGAGAAAAATGTAGGCTACACTTTTAAAAAATAACTGAAATTGTGTAATTCTTCACTGAATTGCGATGAACATCGGTAACTTTTAGTTGTTATAAATATCAACCCTGATAACCAACTAGACCAACTCAGAGAATATAATTCAGCCTGATTGAAACAGACAGAAAGCGAAGGGACAGATCTTAATGGTTATTACCGAGTTGACGTTAGATTTTTTTTTAAATAAGTTACTTTTAATAAAGTACATAATACAATATTTTAAGCAAATAGGTGAAGTTGATACTGTAGGCCTACTCAATGTAAATTCATTAAACATTGATTAAGAATACGTACAGTATTGCTTTTTTTCAGAATTCCCCTTAAGTTGTTTAGAATGGCATTTGGAGTTTTTCAATTACTGATTTCATCAGTGTTGTTCTTAAGCATTTGTCATGGACAAGGTGAGTACAGTTAGTTGGAGTTTACAATATAATATACATTTACAATAAGACATAATTACCCTAAAGAATACTAGATATCATTCAATAATTATGTTCGTTTTATTCTCTCAAGCAACACCACAATATTTCCAACACGGTACCCAACATAAGTTCTCACACCTCACACATAAAATATAACCTAAAATTAGCTCACGCACAACACAGCAAGCTTTATCTCACAATACCCTAAAATTCACGACTCAGCTACATTTCACCTCGATACAGCCCACACCTCCAACGTATTATTTGTTAACTTAGTCTGCGTTTATTACTTTACTTTAAGTCACTTACTCCATCCACAACGTTATTTCCCAATGACAAATAAACCAATCACAGTTAGACCAAAAGAAGTTCGGTACTCCCGTAAGACGTGTGAAATAATGAAATAGATTTTGAAAATAATTAATTAAACGTTGCATTTAGCCTGACTTGTCTGTCAATGTAAGTAGCAAAATGCTGACGGTCCATGAAGCAAGTAAAGCAGAGTTCACCTTTTTTTGTGAAGAAAATAGTGTTCTCGGCACCTTCGCTTTTGCGTTGTTTTTTAAAACAAAGGCGTTTTTGGTAACTATTTGCAATAAGACGCCTAACACATTTAACAATAGCTGGAACTACAAGAATTTCATTGTGATACGATTAGAAAATTTAAGATTTTTTTCAAGACAGACTCAAATCGAAGCAACTTTTATTTTCTGAAAAATTCAAATTACATTAGAATGTTATTTTGGTCGTTGAGGTTGTGGGACTTGTTGTTGTCGTTTTAGAGGGTTTTAAATCCGAATTCATCGTAAGATTATATCACAGACTTTCATTTTAACTCTTTTTTTTACAAATGTTTTTTGTGGTTATACATTCGTTTTATTTTATTTTGTTTCCTTTCACTTACAATTTTAATTTCATTTGAGTTTTTTATTGGTTAAATATTTTGTTTTAGGGTGATACATTTTTTGTTGGTACCTTATTTCTTGCTGATTTTTTTTATTTATATTATATATGCTTCTTAAATTTGATTTTCAGTTTTTTTTACTTTTTTAGGCATCTTTTATTATATTTATGATTGTTTTGTGTGTTTTTGCCTGATGATGTTTTTAACATCTTCTCTGTAGTTTTTCTATCCCTTTACTTTGTATTTAATTGTGTCTTGTTAAATTCACTTGTTAAAAATCTTTCTCTTATTATGTGAACCTATCTTTTAACTAAGCTGTGTAAAGTTGATGGGACGTCCTGTGCCAATAATGTCCGTGTTGTCATGTTTATGTTTGTTGGATGATGTGGCTGTGTAGTTCTGTTCTCTGTGTGTCATATTCCTTGCAGTGTAGTATTAGGAAATGTCATATAGAGTACGGCTCTGAGCAATAGTGGCACCGGTTTTGTGGTTGCTGGAAAGCTGCTGACCCTAGGCGTGTTCAAGTTTTATTTCTATTGACTGGCGGCCTGTCATATGCCTTTATCTGTAGTCTCCCGTCAGGTGGGCGCAGTATGGAGTGCTTTCCTTGTGCTTTATTACCACCTGCACTCAATATTTGCTGCTTTGTCAGCACAATCATTTCCTGAGATGCCGGAATGGGAGGGAAAGCATATTATCTTCATCCTTTCTGTTAGAGTTCGGTACATCTGTGCAGTATATCCTCTAAAGTATTCCTGCAGCATTCTCCCTTGTAATTGCATGTATTACTGAAAGGATGCTAACATCAGTGTCGGTGGTGGTTGATATGTACTCTATGGCTATGATTACTTTCTTCCATATGAGGGTTGTAGATTCTATTAGAGACATTACTTGTTCTTTCTTTTTGTTCTAGCTCATCTAGGTCAGTGTATATCATTGGATGTGTCAGTACCCATTGTGGGATTACAGGTCTATGTATGACTAGTTTGTGTCCCGTGTTCGATGTATTTTGGCAGGATTCTATTTCTATTCGGGTTAACCAGCAGGCACGGGAGTTGAATTTACCGATGGGAATTTCCCATGCCTTTGGATAGCGATGGCTTGAAGGCCGCTGTTGCTGGGTTGGGTACTTTGTGTTTTATTTTAGATCAGTAATTTAATCTGAGTTCTTTTCTGAAGAGTGAGAAGACGATTACTCAAAGAATGAGATCTTGAGATTATTTTCCCCTGTAAACCACTAGGGTTCGTTCTACAACCTCAAAAACAGTCAGAGGTTGTTGAAGTTAGGATTTGTCATAATATGCAGGTTAACGATGCCGGCTTCAGAGTCAAACCATTAAACAGAAAAAATACTTCATAAAGAGGAATGGCAAGTGATGTGTAGGTTAACATACCACAGCATGGCCAGGCTCTTATATATACAATGGAAAATGTCTTCGTTATATGAACGAGCTCAAAAGCTGGGATGACGCGATGGTAAGAATTAACAATAATTATTAACTTTTATTTTAAGAAAAATAGCAGTTGCAAAAAACTTGAAAAGAATAGTAACATGCACGCTAAGACTTGCATGTTGCTGATCACCTGTTTGGTAAGAAGTCAGTTAAGAAAGGCTGATCTTTTGTATGGTAAGACTGGTTTGTTGAGAGAGGCTGATCTTTTGTATGGTAAGACTGGTGTGTTGAGAGAGGCTGATCTCTAGTATGATAAGACTGGTCTGTTGAGAGGGGCGGGTAACTTAAAAGATTAAACTGATCATTTGTTGGTCAGTCAGATTAGAATATTTATGAGACTACCGATATGATACAATTGTGTTGCTTGACATCTTGAGAATGCTAACGATGTTTAAGCAGCCTTCTTCCTCTGCTGCATGATAGCAACTGTAAACAGAGGCGTAGCGAGGGCGGGGCAGTGGGTGAGGGCTGCATCGGATGACATCATTTATAGTTATTAAAATAGTAGTCTGTAATTTATTTTCTTCTTTTTAGTGCATTATTACATAAAAGCTTGTTATTAATATGATTTCATGAACATTTTTAAAATACGTTTTACCTACCTAAACTTTTTAAAATAGAATACAATGTCTTCAAAAATTCTCACCAAGTCAACAATAAAAAATATGTGTATAATAGTGCTGAGTATTGGTACTTTATAAATTCATATATGAGTTTTTCGATAAATGGAAGATATCGTTAAGTACTACTTCTGTTAGACGGAAATTATTCAAAATTTTAAAAAAGGCAGGAAATTATTTTTTTTTACTTTTATTTGAAAATGTGTTTGTCTATCTAAAACAGTACTCAAGTTATAGGCTTTTGAAAAACCAAAAGTAGAATAAGTTCCACTTCCGGTAATAGGAAATCTCCGAAAAGCTTAAACAGAATTACAAAATTGATATAATACTTAAACGTGAAATTTCCTCAACCTAGCTGTAATGGTATTCAAGTTATCTTGTTTACTGATATACACACATTCATACATACACACACAGACAGAATTGAAATATCAAGATTTTTCCTTCTCGATTACGCGTAAAACGCAGAAATTTTGATAAATTGATTTATAATTTCTGCCCGATTAAAATAAATCTTCTATACTACGTATATGATGAAGTACCGAAGTGTAAAACTATGATAAAAACTGTTAAAATTTCATGTGATTTTTGTAAACGATTACAATACTTTCTTTTCATTCTGTATGCAATAAAGTAAAAGCAAATAAACAAGTAGAAAACAGGTTCAGAGCAATTTGGAAATCGTTTTTAGAATTCATACTTAAAGAAATATTTATTGTACTTAAGCAGATATTATGGGGATTCAGTATTAACTTTCACAATTGAAACCATATTTAAAACGCATTGGCAAGTCAAATATTATCTGCCTTAGTTTCATGCTCTATTTGTCTCATCCTCCAGACTTCATGTGTAAACATGGGAGGAACTCTGGCAACAGTAGCGGATTTAACTGAATGGGACGACATTAAATTTTATTTACATATAGGTGAGTTAAAATTAAAATAATACTGCCTGGCTTCGATTAGGTTTTCAAAAACATACGAGAACTTGAATAACAAATTAATTGGTGACTGGCTGTTTTTTTTTTTTTTTTTTTTTGGACTATTTAAAATTTGGCAGTTATGTCAAATTGAAGGTACTCTGGTTAATTTATGTAAACTTATTACTCGCAAGTTAATTTCTACATTTACTTAAGAAAAAAATGATAAATATAACTTAATTTTTACGCCAATTAATGTTATACTTCGTAATTTTCTGTTGTTTTTTTTTTAAATATTATAATATAAATTAAAAATAATTACTTTAGAAAGTTACCATCCTTGTACATAGACGGAATGATGTAGTCGTTGTTTACTTTTTTCAACAACAATTGCTATGCTCATATAACATGTTACGGCATCTAGACAAATCTAACGCCCCTAAGTGGGATTTCTTACAGGCAAAATGTTTTTTTTGTTACCCTCGGGGGTCGGTCTACATCCTTATACAATATCAAGGGGGTTCGTTCGGCAAAAGATTTTTTCGATATATAGCTCTAATAAGGGGAATTCTACTCGCGGCCATTTTTAACACTCGTCTAAAGCGACAGTTTTTCCATATGGCTTTGTCATTTACAGAGGTGCATGCAAAAAATTAGCCAGATCTACAGATGGTAAGCCCCCTAAAACCTTAGTTAAAATTACCTTCTGTCTTCACATAATTTACAAAAATTATATAGGGAAATACGGCTCTTCAGTTTTGACCATTATACAGATTTTTCCCAGATATGGCGAGTTTTTTCTGATATCCATAGGCGTTTTTTTTCCGACCTCACAAAATATCAAGGATTATCGTTTGGCAAAAGTTGATTTTTTGATATATAGCTCATATAAGGCGCCGGTCAGTCGAGGTCAATTTGACCCTCCTCATCGTGGACTGGGGCCGATCGACAAGGTCTCCATATTCTGTCGGCGCGAGGCAAGGGCCTGAAAAATTTGAAGCTCCTGCGGTGGTGGGAAGTGCCCTAACCGTCATCCGACCACTTTAGGATTTCATGCGTCATCAAACGGCAAGTAATTAAATCGGATCGATGTGTTAATTTAGATACGTGTTGTAATCTGAAACCTGATTTCATTTTTTTATAGCAATACATAAGTATACAAAGTTTTACAGAATCGTGTAGATATTCTATCGCATATTCACAATCTTAAAATAAATAAATCCTTGACATTCAAATTCAGCAGAGTAACTAGAACTTTTTTATGCTTGTTATAGAACATATTGACCTGCTATTTTAATTGTCATTTATACCATTTAGTTCTTACTGAAGTTTTAAATCACTGTACGACTTGTTTTTAAAACTGACTTTTCATTGTTAAAGAGTTCAATGTAAACTTGCAGGTCCTGTCAACGTCTGGATTGGCGCCAACAAAAAGATGAATAAAATAACTTATGTTTGGACTGACGACCTCAATCAAGCTACAGAATTAAACGGGATGTGGGCTGCTGGCTATCCGAAAAGTACAGCTGGATATGACTGTGTTTTTTTGTTGTCAGAGGCTTTCAACGATCCTTGTTCAAATACATACAGTTATCTTTGCATGGAACCAGGTAAGTGTATATACATTTGCATGAATTAATATTAGTTACCGACTTTTTATCTTAATGAGGAGGGTGAGTCTCATAAGATATTTGGCATCATTACCCAATTCAAGTATATAATCGAACCTTTACTCCACTAATAAAATACCGAAGAGTCTGTCCATTGTATATAAATAATATAACTAATTGGCTTATGTCGCTAAAATATGTAAAAAGATCTCATTAGCGACCAAAGCATATATAAAAGAAAGAAAATTAGTTTAATTTTTCCTATTTTCAGTGCATTAAATGTTCGTTGCTATAAAAAAAAAAACAATTGTTTGATTATTTTCTACTTTTTAGTAATTGCTAATTCATGAATTCGACGACGCGATTAAAAATAGTTCCTTTAAAACACATAAGCAGATAGCGATACCTAACAGACGATTATCTGTCAGCAAACAAACAAACAGACGTTTCGAACTAAATAGAAACTTGTAAAAAGGCAGTGACTGTTAGATTTTAGAGTTGTCTCTCCTAGATGAGTTGGTGTATCAGACTATGTAGCTTCGTCTGCCCAGGTGATCGAACTAGGATTTTACAACAATAAACTTTACTAACCCGACCACACTAACCACTGTTTCCATTCTAGTTATGACTTTTCTACAATAATTTTCAGCAGTATTCTACTCCTTAATGATGATGGAATGTTCCCCAAATACTCTTCATACCATTCCTTTGAAATGATATTTGTAACTTTCAACATATAACATGTATCACGCACTTATTGTAGAGGAAGATTGCTTTTTTGTATGGTTTCTTATTGTCGATAGATTTCCAGACTTTGTAAATTACAGAATACAGTCAAGTATTCGATTATCTGCGAGAAATCAGTTTTAGTTGTACACCTGAATTAAAGTATCTATTTCAGAATATTCAGTAAAAATTGTGTTTTTAATAGTGTTGATAACACTTAACAAAATCGTGTGTCTTGTGTTGTTTTCTGTTTTTTTTAAAGTATTTCTTAACTAATTCTTTTATTATTTAACGATTTTCTTCAGACCATGGTACCACGAAATGCGATATACCTGCAGCACCTACAACAGCAGCGACTACCACAGGTGTGATTACAAGCACAGCCGGAATAACACATGCAGAAACCGTAGTTCTGTTTCAAATTTTCAGCGATTTCCAGTAAACGGAAGTGGAACTTATTCTACTTTGAAATTTTCAAAAGTCAATATCTTGATTACTGTTTCAGACAGATGAACGAAATTTTACTTAAAGGTTAAAGATTTAGTTTTCCGCCTTCAGGTATATATGAATGGCAGTGGTATTGACGCGTACTATATATTATGCACCAACGCACCATTCAATCCATCCCTAAAATCTTGATTTTAGTTAATAAGATTGTTTTAGTACGACCTCTATTAAAATCGTATGATTCTTTTACTAGAGTTGTTATAGAAAGTATTGTACTCGTGCAAAAAAAAATAATTTACAACTCCCTGAGTAGGAAAAAAATAGTTTTGCAATTTGTCCGTATGTCTATGTGTGTGTATGTATGTGTGTATGTGTGTCTGCAAACAAGATAACTTGAGTACCGTTACAGCTAGATTGATGAAATTTCATATATAAGTATTGTATCAAATCCGTAGTTCTGTTTCAACTGTTCAGCGATTTTCGGTAAACGGAAGTGGAACGTAATCTACCATGAATTTTTCAAAAGCCTATATCGTGAGTACTGTTTCAGATAGATGAACGAAATTTTACCTACAAGTAAGATATCTACTTTTCCGCCTTCAGTCAAATTTTGAGTAATTTCCGTTGAACGGAAGTAGTAATTTACGCTATTTCCGATTTCTCAAAAAATGCATGTGAATTTATAAAGTACTAATAATATTCTGCACTATTATACACATATTACTTACCGTTCACTTAGTCGCAATTCTTTTTTTCTACGAGATTCTATTCTATTTTCAAAAGTTTATATAAGTAATTAAAAATCATGTCTATATCCAGAGTTGCCATCCCCCTTAGTGTTATATAAGAATATTTGAGAAAGTTTAGGGGAGATCACTCCCGGTTTATATAACTTAAGATGGAAGAAAAAATCAAAACTCAAAAATAAACTTTGAAACTTAAGAAATGATTTTTTATGAATTAAAACTATCATAACAATATACAAATTATTTAAGTTTAATTAATTGTTAAACGAAAACACTTATCGAAACATTATTTTCTCGCTGCATTTCAGTTGAGGCAACTACCGAACCTCTGATTTCCACAACAAGACGTCTGAGTAATTATTGATTGAATTTTTAAATGAAATACAACAAGTGTAGCTTAAAAAATAGTTCCTCTTTTTGCAATAAAAGTACCCGCGATTTATTACTATTTTTAATTTTAGGAAAACATTGCAAGAATGGCTAAGGACATATCACTGTCGTGCGGTAAGATGACAACAATAGTTATGATACAGTCTATGTAATCATACTAGATTAAAAAAATCTTTTTAAAAATATGGCAAGCGAAAAAAGTATAGTTACAATTATAAAAATCAAAGCCGCATGAGAACCGTAGATTACACTCAATTTTATATTGTATATCTAGTAAAACAATATCAGTTAGAACAATTGTTTTCCATGATAAAAATGCAAAATAGTGATCAATGGTGTATAGCGTAGTATTGTATTTAAATTGAAAATATAACATCCCCAATCACCACAACACCCTGAGTCTACTAATCCAAATTAAAAATTAAAGTGTTTGCTAGATTATTATTATATTTCTAGTAATCAATTTGTTTTTACTATTTCTAGCCTTAATGAAACCGGAACTGATTGTGTACTTACTACACGAATGCTATACAATGTTGATTGAAAAAATGCTTTCTTGCAACAAAAAATTTGGAACCGTTTGGAACCAGCTTTTAAGTCTATGTAGATTAAAGTCATAATTTTAAAATTATGTCCTGGTTGAAAACTGTAACACATTATGGTAAATGTTCCGGCAAATAAAAAAATTTAGACGTTTCTGTTCCGTCAAGTAGTTTAATTAGCCGGCTAACTGGACATTTTTTTAGACCTGTTGCAGTATGTATAGTTAAACAATTTAAAATGATTGAGTAAATGCCATACAGACGTAGTTCTATTACCACATTTGTCTTTGTCCTCACAAGCTGATGAAACTGTAATATCAATGCGTACATTCGAAATTACATGACTGAAGAAAAATATTAATAAAACACCGCATAATCTACCAAATTAACATAATTTGATGAATGGCTTACATTGCGTAAGTCAGATGAATTATAGAATAAGCAATGAGATTTCCAAAAATTAAAGGTGGTGTATTTTTAGTTCTGTCTGAAAATGTAAATACGATTGTTTTGCAGCGATGACCTATGTATTATTTTAAGCTAAAATTTAAGAAGGAATTAAAACATAGGTGATGAATCAAGAAATAATTAAACGATTGAGGACAAATCACAGTTTGAAAAATTAGTTCTTCCTAATGATAAATTAGATATATAGAGTTGTAGGCTCATTTTTCGGTATAACATAAAATATGTTAGATTGAAATATATATTTGCTATATTTATAAATGTATTAATGTATACGGCGAGTAAGATAAATTATAAATTAGTTTATAAATGTGAATATTTTTAATATATTTCTTCAACAGGAACATGGTATGCCGTCGAGATCACATAGGGTGATCGCTTTATATTGTGACATCGTTGAATACTACACTTCCCTATTTTCAGTCGATTCAGTAAATTTTAACTAAGATTTTTTTTTTTTTATTTTAAATTCTAAATCTCTTTTTTTAAATATATAAAAATGTAAGCTTATTAAAATATTTCGTAAATAATATCTTATTCAAATAAAGTTTTCTTCGTCACAATCAACTCTTGTTTTATTTTGAAATATTGTACTTACGGTTGCAACTGTAATTTAAAATGAAGCACTTATTCTTAAAAATACAATTAAATAGCGTTTCATCACATTTCACAAGCATGTCTAAATCATTTACTTCTTAATATCAAATGTTCAAATAGTTGCGAAACACCTTTTGATTGAACCTAAAACGAGGTAAAACATTTTTAAAATACACCTATTTTTCTATTAAATTACCTGGAAACGCTATTTATTAAAAGACGCTTTAATACGTGAAGTGTTTACAGGCACTGTTCTAGTCTGGTTGTATCTAAAAAATGACAACCATGAACGTGAAACAAAGAGACATGCAAGGAAAGATAAACGAAATGTCCATTATGTAAAAACAAAAATGTCAGAAATATTCACCCAACTGAGAGGACAGTACAAAAATGAAAATGGAGTATCTCGTTATTAATTATACCTTTATTTTATTCTTCTAAGAATGGTTATATATTTTAAATCAATAGCAAATTCAACTAAGAGTAGTAATTTAAAAACAATATGTAATATAAATTTTAAAACACACTGAAAAAAATATTCAAGATTTATAATTCTAATTGTTATATTAAAAACGCACATAAGGGACTATGTATAAATATATTAACATATTTTTATTGAAATTATTATTTTTTGATTTTTGAAATAATGGACAGAATTGGAATAATATTGATATAATTCGGTGGGTAAACGGAGGTATGAACAGAAGAGCATACACAAGTAGTATAGTAGGTCCCCTTTGGCGCGTAAGAGGAGGAGGAGGCGAGGGGGAGGAGGAGGATGGGGAGGGGGAGGAGGGACAATTGTTGATTATTTTGACCGTTATTAATTGATTTTTGCCCACCTGTTGCATATTTTGACCGTTATTGATTGATTTTTCACCACCTGTTGATTGTGTTTATTCGTTATTGATTGATTTTTCACCACCTGTTGATTTGTGTCCCTGTTTTTTTTATCAACTATTGATTGTTTTAGCCCGTTGTTGATTGTTCACTAACTAACTGTTGATTGTTTTGACTAGTAGGTTATTGTTTTGATCGGTATGTTGACCATTTGACCACTTGACCACTTGTTGTTCAGATGTTGTTTTACATTGTTTTATTAACGGTTATCATAGAGGAGGAGGAGGTTATTGTTTTGATCAATTGATCGAAATATTGACCAGTTGACCAACTGACCAGTTGTTGCTCAGATGTTGTTTTACATTGTTTTATTAACGGTTATCATAGAGGAGGAGGAGGGTATTGTTTTATATATATATATATATATATATATATATATATATATATATATATATATATATATATATATATATATATCAGATGATCAGTTGACCGGTTGTTGACCACTTGACCAGTTGTTGGTTGTTTTTATTGACCTGCCCGACAGTCCGGCTTTAACAGTATATCGTAAAGTATTATTTCCCCACCCCCAGTGGGGGTGTGGGTGGGGATGATGCGGGTGAAACCCGGGGGCGGGTGGGGAAGGTGGTAGCAGGTGGTACCCCTTCCCTTTTGTGTGTTGCAATCTCATTCTCCCTTTGTCTGACGTCTGTGTAAGCATGTCCTTTTGTGTGCCGCTACTCGCGTCATACACAAAGGCAGGTGCCCTACCCCATTGTCTAATCCAACTCACGCGCCTTTACTATCGATTTTTTTTTAAAGTCATGTTTAAACATGTTGACCGTATAAAATCTTTGTTGAATAGGACTGGTGGATGTCGAATTCTACTCGTCTTAATATAAAGAGATACATCACGTGCCAACACTCGGCCGGTATTGACCCCACTGGTGGTTTCTACTTGCTT